CACAAGTATGTCTGTGGACTCGGAACATGTGACAATTCTTTTGCAACGAAGAAAGAATTGAAGAATCATTTGGCAGCAGCACCACATCGTAAACTCAAGGTAGCCTGTATCCTGTGTCCTTCATTCCAGTCCTTTTCGAGAGTTTCAGAGTGGAAGAGGCACTGTGATGCCAAGCACAAGCTACAGCTGCAGGAACTTGATGCAGACTTTACGTCAGAAAGCAACGCCACATGGTTTTCACTTAATCCAGAATCGTATGTGAGGGTGGTACCAGCTCCAGGTTGGAATGCGGCACTTTCAGCAAAGACAAGGGAAATGGTCCTTCTTTGGGTCTCGACACAGGGCAGCATGCCAAGAACAGAGGAAGAATGGGAGGAGGTATGGCAGACGATTAAAACGGTTACAAAGACCCTACCAGTGGAGGTGCAGGAGGTACATGATGATGCTCTGTCCATATTTACAGATGGAATCATAAGTCTTTAACCGGAAGTTAACACACCACCAGAATACGACCCTTCAGAAAGCAAGTGTGGCGCCTCTACTCAACTAGAGATTAAGGACATCCTCCTCCAGAGGAATGGTGCTACTGTCCTGTTCTATACGCCTGGGGGTGGGCTTGTGTACGAGGCGGGCATTTCAGAAGAAGCCATGCAGAGTCCGAAGTCGTTCGACAACCTCACAAGGCGGATGAGGACTCTTGGCAGGGCCGAACCCAACTCCAGGCCAAGTGGATCGGGGCAGAAAATGGAGGGACCTCAACTGGAGACAAGGAAAGCCACCTTCGCATCACTTCTGGGGATAGAGATGAACCTGATCGACTCCGTTACACACTGGACATCCCCTTTTTCATCAAGGGAACCTTCCCCCAGGCCCAAGAAAAGATCGAGTAACTCCAACATGTCTCCCCATAAGGATTCCGCATCAAAGATCCCAAGAAGAGAGGAACAGAAAAGATACCATCAAAGGCCCAGCTCTCCCCCAAGGCCAAGGGAAGTGGACACCATGAGGGATGCCAAGAAGATCTTGACAACAGGTTGCATGCCACTGCTTCCCCCAGCCAGGAGGGACTGGACACACCATCAGATCCGCCTCTCTGCTGGTGCAAGGAGCATCACCTGGCCTCCTAGGAGCTGGGAGACCCTCAGTGCAGATGAGAGACTCCTCCAGTGGGAATTTGCTGCCATGACCCTGGAGGAGGGCCTCCAAGGACGAGTCCCTCGGATTGAAAGGAGCTACTTGCATGACAGATGGAATATGCTTGCCCTCCCTGGTACCCTACTGCATACAGAGGACCACTCACCATCAAGGAAGGCCCGTCTTTACGATTACCGGACCTTGGTTGACATCTCCTTGGGCAAGATAAACGGCCAGACTGCCAGGGCCATAATCCTCATGCATCAAGCCGCCCAACGCCATAGGAATACGGAAACAGACAGGATCATCAACTCTATCGATGCAGCAAGGATCGGTCTTCGCCTTGAAGCGGATTAGCAGATCAGGGGACCTGATCTTTGAAGAGGGGTATGATGTGATGGCCATCACGAAGAAGATATAAATATTAATGTCTTTATTATAAAATATGAGAGTTATGACAGCTTGTAAAAATTAGAAATATTTCCTAAATATTTCCCTGTTGTATTTTTGTTGGTTGTATGACAGTGCACGAATTATATCATAATTATCCTGAGAACTGTAATTAGGTTTGCAGGTATATATCAGTATATTTTTGCCAACCTCGTTTTCACGTAATTCAATGTTTTGAATCCCGTTTCGGTAAGAAATCTATCAGAGGATCAAAGCATGCTTTTATAGAGCTTCATGGCACACTGTTATCTCGTAAAAATAATCATATGTCCATGCCATCATGTTACGCATATTGTTTAGGATGTGCCAGTACCTCATAAGCATCGATGTCAACAACGTGCCTGTCAAAACGATCTTGTTTACTTGTTTCAAGAGTTTTGCATTGACCGTAACTTTTGAAGAATTCATCGTTCTAAGCACACAGTTACGCAAATTAACAATCAGATACAGATTAATCATACCTTTGTTCTTCAACAAACAGATCACAATCGCTTGGCAGCTTGATATTTATCCATATTTGTGTGAATTTGTGATCAGGGCTGAGCTACGTGTTTCGCCGACGCCCGCCATTTTAACTTTGTGACAGCTAGCCTAGGTCGCGATGAAGTTACTGAATTTGGCTAATGCTTGGCATTTGCATTATAAAGTTTATTTAATCTAATGAACTATGTCCAGAGGAACCCAGAATCGTATTTGATGATATGTCAAGACGTGTATTAAAGTTACTGTTAATTCTGACATCAGGAACTATGTAATCTTCGCTGATGTATTCATGCGCAGTATTTAGCGTCACTATTCATGAACATGTTTCTCATAAATATGACATCCAGTGCTTCTGTCAAAGTATACCAGTGGCCAATTTGTGTTATTAAACGTCTTATGCATCAGATAAATTCCAATTGCCTCCTGACATTTGTAATCTTCCTCTTTGAATTGTCCATCGTAATTCCCAGTCGATGTTGCTTGTTGTTATTACGTCCTCTCGGCAGGCAGCAAGGACGTAGCTTCGACGTAGCAGGACGTAATTGTTTATCTTGTGATATTGGAAGGCAATTAGTGAATCAATTAGACAGAATTCATTGATTGGTATAAATACTCATTTTAATACCAAATTACCTCCTGAGATGGTTTGCCTTCCTCTTTATTTCAGTGATTTTACATTGTGAAAGTAGATCCCTCAAGGGAATGAGGACGTAAAGAGACGTAATTTCTCGTAATTTGATTGGTCAATAAGAGACATGTGACCATTTTCTCACACCTATAAATACGATGAGATCCATTCTGGGTCATTCTGACTTTGGCAGTCTAAAGGTCAGTTTCAATCAAAGGGCAGATAATTCAGCCCAAAAGTTCCCCTTGTCCTTATGTAATCATTTCTATAAATAGACTGCATTTTTGAACACAGACACAAATTGCTATCTGAGTAACTGTAAAGTTATTCAGATAAAGAAGTCATCCATATATATATATATTTATAGCAGTAAACTACCATTATAGTTACAGGCAATAATTATTTTGCCCTGACACTGGTCCTTACAAATAAACCTTAAAGCTCAGAGGGATCTACTTATTTGGAAGCATTGTGTTGTCCATATAAGGCATTGTTATACCCACATGAATAAAAACTAATTATTCATTGAAAAGAAGTGTTTTGACTCTCAGTACTAGTTACATCCAGACTTCGAGGTTTATCAGAAGTTCGGGTCCGGGCCGCTACATTATGTTTCAGTTTAAGGCGTGGGGAGCCAGAAAGACGAGTTGTGTTATGTTTCAGTTTAAGGTGTGTGGAGCCAGAAAGACGAGTTGTGTTATGTTTCAGTTTAAGGCGTGGGGAGCCAGAGGGACGAGTCGTGTTATGTTTCAGTTTAAGGTTTGGGGAGCCAGAGGGACGAGTCGTGTTATGTGTTAGTTGTAGGCCTGGGGAGCCAGAGGGACGAGTGGTGTTATGTTTCAGTTGTAGGCGTGGGGAACCAGAGGGACGAGTGGTGTTATGTTTCAGTTAAAGCCACGGTGAGCCAGAGGGACGAGTGGTGTTATGTTTCAGTTGTCGGCGTGGGAAGCCAGAGGGACGAGTGGTGTTATGTTTCAGTTGTCGGCGTGGGGAGTCAGAGGGACGAGTGGTGTTATGTTTCAGTTGTAGGCGTGAGAAGCCAGAGAGACGAGTCGTGTTATGTTTCAGTTGTAGGCGTGGGGAGCCAGAGAGACGAGTGGTGTTATGTTTCAGTTGTAGGCGTGGGGAGCCAGAGAGACGAGTGGTGTTATGTTTCAGTTGTAGGCGTGGGAAGCCTGAGGGACGAGTGGTGTTATGTTTCAGTTGTAGGCGTGGGGAACCAGAGGGACGAGTGGTGTTATGTTTCAGTTGTAGGCGTGGGGAGCCAGAGAGGCGAGTCCCAGCCATGTCTGTTGTGTGCTTGATATCAGAACCATCGATTCATCCGAATTGAGAGCACCTATCTCTGTATGCGGATAAATGATTGAATCAATACCGTTCACATACATTGCTCGCCGTGATATTTTTATGCACACAGACACACGCACGCGCGCACGTGCATACACAGAGGGAGGGTATAGTCAGCCTTTGGTCTTGATCTATGTTCACGCTTTACTTTATTTGATTTGTGAAGACCAGACGACAGTGTTAATGTGTTTTTGCAATAATGTTTCAACTCAAAATACAAAACAAATACAAATGAACAACCCCAAAGAAAAGACGTCATATGTAAAGAACGAACAGTGTACTTAAGGACTTGGAATTGTATATAAATAACATGGTAAATGATCATGAAGGGTTACGTTGTTGAAAACCTCTGAGCCTAACTATGAAGGGTGTACAGTACGCCTTAACAGTTTGCGTGTATTATGTACAGATTCCGAGGACTCAATCTGTTCACTGTCGTAGGATACCCTTACTTTACTTTTGTGAACGATTTGTGGTTGGATTGAAATACAATACGTCACTCAGTTTGATCAACTCGCACGTTAATCCGTGTACTCGTAACGTTTGACACAATGTTCGAGGCCTGCCCTAATGCTCTTCAGATGGTTCTTTCTGTGAACCGTCACATTTCCGTGACGAAATGAAACAAACTGTGAAGCAAAATATTAAGTACATTTTATAAAATATCTTCGATTTGCCTTTTGCCATTTTCACTCTGTAAGAACTTGTAAACAAGATTCATATCCAGATTGGTCTTTTTCATTATATTTTCATTCTTGTTAAATGTCAATGTCAGCATCGGAACTGTGGGGTATAAAATGAGTATCATGTAGCAAATGTTCGATACCAAAGCTGGGCAAAAGGGCGTGTGCATATGCATGAGTAAGTGCAGGTTTCACCATCCACTTTGAAAAGGGCATTAATTTACATATTTGTTGTGCACTCGGCGACGGTTTTTTTCAAACAAGGTAGAAGTATGTTCAGTTTTTTATAAGTTTATTTACTGTATGGCTGGAATTGTGATATGTTGGTACCAGTACAAAAGCTTTTAATTATGTCATCTTCTGTATCTACTTTGAAGATAAACACCATGTAGTGTGCGTTGTATCCATGAGACATCTATATCATACATAAAATGTAATGACATGTATATACACATTTCTGAAAAAGGCATCTTTGATAAAACAATTAGACTTTAAAACTGAACATGCACATTAGGCCAGCACTGGCTGCAATAGCTTATAAAATATATACACACTGGTCGTTTTAGTTGTATAGAATGGTGAGTAAACTCAACCAGTCTTGTTTTGTTTTACTCAGTAAAAGAACACCGGTTTATGGGAGTATACCAAGCTGGGTTCAATCATATGGAACCATTTTAGCACTGCAGTATTCAGGAAAGACATTACCGTCTTAATACCCTAATTTATAAACTCCTTTTTTTCAGTTCATTAGATGAGTAATCACTGCATACTTAAACACAACATATATCGGAATAAATATGAGATACACATACATCAATAATATACATATTACAATCATAAAATAGGAACAATATAAATAGACGTTAAGCTGCCAAGAACGTGACAATTTCCCCCTATACTGTATAAGTTCCTTCCTTACCATAACGTAGCGATTTTATTCCTCCGTGTTTTTTAACCACCCTTTTTTATATATCTTAGATTGTCGTGATTAAGCTCATACACAATGTTATCCGACTCTATCAAGGTTAAACGTAAATTTAATATTAATCATCATCATTTCTGTCCAAACATAATTTCCGACAAGAAAACATGTCACTAATACATAAAAAGATAATTTATTTGCACAGTAGTCTTTTGTGAGATGATATTTAAACATGACACTTTGTACAGCTTTGGCCTATTTCAACAGTTACTCTGCCGCTATAGAGCAATGCATTTTGTACATTTAGAGATGGCTCTGCTATTTTCTATCGAGACGTAAAATATATGGTAATTCTTTCGAAACATGAAATTCTCTCCGCTAACTACTTATGAGAGATACTGTTTTTCACTTACCACTCTACCCATATCGACCCAAACGTATTGACCCATTGCTTGCACATACACCTTTAAAAGTCAAACGACAAAGATCGAAATGAAATGCATGCATCACTCATTATTACGGCAGTGTAGCGGGCAGCATGTCACTGTGAGATAGTCCCGAAATGTATTGAACATAGCTTACGGATACCCTAGTGAACCTTCCTGGTAGCAGATGACGTATACTTTGGTGTGCTGATATGGCATTATGATAAGGTGCATCATGTGCATCAAATATGAATATTACACCTATACATATTTCCGGAAACATAAAAGCAACTTCAGTAGTAGTTCGAAGTAATAACAGTTATAGATGTACATTTGTCCTAACACGCCCACCAATGCGTTGAACCAGTGCCTACGCATTATGGTAATGGAAATGCCTGCATTATCCATGTATCGGGGCGCTTAAGACGAAAGCAGAAAAGTCCTGATGCGTGTTGATGTCCGTCAACTGTCCATTGAACGTCCATCAGTGTCATCAATCTGTGCATCCTGCGTCTTGCGCGCGCATGTCTGTGAGCATGTGTCTTCATGAGCAAGGTTCGAGTGTACCATCTGAAATATATTATACATAAATGGTAGTTGTTTTGACATATGATCAGCTGCAGGGTTCTGGTAAAAATGACACATTGTGAGTGAATATTTTGACGTTGCCTCAGCTATCGTCCAGCTATTCACTACGTAAATACGAAAACACGTGAGTCTTTCGTTGAACAGAAACAGCGCGTTACACTCTATTCAGCAATATGAACACTGTTGATATCACTATGAAACAGCCAGTAGCTAGTGCAGCTTACCGTCTACATGTTTGCAGTAGTAGTCTGTGGGTATGTTTGTGCAAGGTAGGATGGCCTCTGAAATGTTGAAATACACCTGCTGTCCACCGCCACAATCCCCAGGGGTCTTCACACCATTTACACACCAGTAGTACTCAGTGCAGTTGCCAGGGTAGGTGCTCTCTCTGGCGATGTAGGTGTAAACGCTGCAGTCACATTTGGAAGGAGGAGCTGTAAAATCACCAGGAAAGCTGCCATGACGGAACAGTTGCTCTGCACCCTTTTACCACATCTATTTCCCTATCTTCACTATGGATGGACGTAGGAAGCCAAATCCGAAAGATTCCATGGTCCCTAGCCTGTCTTACAGACCCTGATACAAATATATCAAACACAGCCCATGCAAGTCTATAAAATTTGGCAAGTCTAGATTGCTGCAGTATCATAGAGAGTCTCTGGGCTCCTTTTTATTATATTTTTATTAAGATAATTGAACAACTGTTTTTTTCTGTACGATATGTTCATTTCAGAGAGAAGATGTTAGTCTACATGGTCCCCAACTATACAAGGTACCATACGCTTTCAGGCAAATGTGTATACTTTGTAGAAAAATATGACAGATACAATCCAAATTATTGGTGTGATTTAAACGGCAGTTTATGAGTAGTGTATATAAAGACAACGCAAAAACCCGCTGTGTTCTGAAACCCGCGATCGAACAGGAAACAAGCAAGAAACATATTTATTTTTACTTTTTATATATATTTCTGATTGAATGTTTTGATATTGTATTGTGCAATACGAAACAATCTTAACATATTTATAGTTTGTATTTCATCTTTATATTTCAGTTGGCTGCACCGTTTTCCTTGAAATATTATCATTCTCTCTCTTTCTCTCTCCCTCCCTCTCTCTCTCCCTCTCTCTCTCTCTCTCTCTCTGTGCATAATCATCATGACGTAATTCACATGTTGTACTATATATTTTGAGGTTAAATTATGAAAATAACCAATGACAAACCTCAAAACTGTAAGGAGTTGTTATGTAACCAAAGTCATATGCAGTTTTAGTTACATCAATTAAAATCATGAACATAGTTTGCTGGAGGGTAGCGGTGCCATCTCCTTACCTCATCCTGGTCTTGTTAGTTGTAATTATTTCTACTTTGTAATGACTTTTGTTAGTTTAGACTGCACGTACATAATTACTCGCATACAAAAAGTTAATATAGAGAGGTTAGCACCATTAATGATATGTCACATTTCGAAAAAGACATTTTAATTAGTCACTGCATACATTTTCTACGTGTCGTCAAACACTTGTTAGTATTAAACAATACACATAGAAATGAGAAAATAAACAATATTATCGCACACTTGTCCATTTACTTATTTTCAGATGGTTTGTATTAAAACATAAATGCACAGCACATTTTAGGAATGCTATACCTGACGTCGTGACGTCTGCTGGATCTATTTAACGAACGACAATACGATGTTTAACGACGTTTGCTGTGTTTTAAAACAATATTAACGTGTACACTTGTATTATGAGAACTGAATAATATCATTTCATATCACTAGATTGCTACCGACTTGTGTGTCACAGTTCTTGATGAAGTTTCAACTTCAATGAAACTGAGACAACTAAACGTCATTCTTACCCCTTGTAGTGAATGTAGCATTTGCATTTTAGTTTAAACTGCACGTACTCTATAACAAATTACTCGCATACAAAAGTTAATAGAGACAGGTTAGCACCAGCGATTGTATGTCACATTTCGAAAAAGAAATTTAAATTAGTCACCTCATTTATACATACAATAGTTTCTCACTGTCGTCAAAATAAATGTAAGTATGTAACAATACACATAGCAATGATAAAAAAACCCATCACAATTACACACATGTTCATTTACGACTTGTTCGCGGATGGTTTGTGTTAAAACATTAAAGCACCGCACATTAAAGGTATGCTATACCTGACGTGGTGAACTCTGCTGGATCTATTTAAGAAAAAGACAAAACAATGTTGACAGACGTTTGCTGTGTTTCTAAATCAATATATATATATATGTGTACATTTGTATTATCAGAACTGAATATTATCATTTCAGATCACTATAATGCCACTGACTTGTATGTCACAGTTCTTCGCAATGAAACTGAGACAAAATAAACGTCATTCTTACCCCTGGTAGTGACTGTTGCATTTCCAGTTGTATTACCATCATCAGCTGAAATGACACATACAATCAAAATTATTGGTGTGATTTAAACGGCAGTTTATGAGTAGTGTATATTAAGACAACGCAAAAAACGTTGTGTTCTGAAACAGGAAACAAGCATGAAACATATTTATTGTACGTTTACCACTCAAATTCGAGTTGTTAAGAGATCTGAAGAAGTGCAAGACTTCGGGATAATAAAAGTCATACTCACAGGATGGGGTTCTTTTCTGTTCACAAAATGAAAGTGCATAATCGCTGGTACAGGCCAAAGCTTGTGTCGCATTAGCGATGAAATAGGAACTTCCCGGGCATGTTCTGTTGATGGGAGCCCCGTTTACACACCAATAATAATCCTTGCAGTGGCTTGGGTGAGTGTATTCACGAGGTATGTTGTCGCCAGTTGCTCTGCTTTTGCAGGAGAATGGATCTGGAACAAACAACGGACATGGTACATCTACTTAGTTAACAAAACGACCGTGAAACATGCTCAATATGCTACTTACAAATTTGGTTTAATTTGTATGACATTCTACACTGTCACTATTGCCAATGTTGTTGCTGTCCGATATAGTTTACATATCCCTCAGTTCACAAATGAGTGATTGGCGTTGTGTATCATGTCTATGCATATATGTTATAACGTTCCTCATATCTATAATATTTGCTGAGGCGCATGAAGACATGAAATCGATTTGGTTGCAACAAATCTAAAACAGAAACAAGTTGACGACACCTTACTGACAAACATATGTAAATCACAAGGTTGATGACGTCACGGCTTTGTGATGCTTTGTGATTCATAGTGCCTAGTAGTAGCTAATTTCTTAAGCATAGGAGATTAGATTAGGTTTTGACATGACTAAGAAATCCACCTTTAATATTGATAAAATAATGAATAAAAATGTCAACAGAAATAATTGAAAAACTTGAATCATTCTCAGATTGGTTGTATTGAAACAAATATGTGTTTTCATTTATATTACCTGTCGTAGTGGTTTCAGCTGGCGCTAATCCAAACAAAGAAAACGTCGTGATAAGCATGTTTTGACAAAAGAAAACATATTAAATTCTTATCGTATCTTTGATACCTATGGACAAAAATGCAGTAACAAAATGCATAAAAGTATTCGATGATTGAGTGCTCTACGTTTTATAGTTTTAATCGCAGGACGTTATCGTACATTGTATACACACAACGTCTTACTCACTGTGTCGGACATTACTTTGCAACACCGACATTACAAGCAAGAGTTACCAGGAAAACACATTGCCCCTCCAACCTCATCCAAAACATTGCTAAGAAAAATAAACTCAATAGATAATCAGGTCAAGAAGACAATTACTTGTACGTGTTGGGCAATATTGGATTATACAGTTTAGAGGAATAACAAAATCAAAAGAAACATGGTTCTCACCCACGGTCGTTCCTGTCTCATTTCCATTCACAGTTTCATTCGCAGCTGAAAAGTCAAATTTAGGTTGGGTGTGACACATCTAGGGTATAGACCATGAACAGTCTTGATTATTGAAAATACGGCATATTCACTGAGAGCAGAAATACCAGAATATATTCAAAACGATTTTTCAGAGATAATCCGACTAAAACCAAATATTCACAGATAAAATTAAACCTAAATCGTGATGATGAGAAGGTATAGAGCAGAATACACGATATACATGCACATACCCAGAATTCAAGGATTAGGGTTACCTTTCAGAGCACAATATGAAAGTGCGTAATCCTCGGTACAGGCCGTAGTTGGTGTGGCATTCCCGATGAAATAGGAACTTCCAGGACACGTGGTGTTAACGGGAGCTCCGTTTACACACCAGTAGTACTCTTTGCAGTGACTGGGGTAGGTGTCACCACGTGGTATGCGGTCGCCACTCACTCTGCCTTCACAGGAGAATGAACCTTGGTGAAAGAGTTATACATCGATCACCTTTATATACCATATCAGCCACACATCTTTTACTTTTACTTGGTATGGTGCCATATTTTACAGAGTCTAATATTCATCTAAATATTGTTGTAAAAAATCGCAGATTGTCTGTTTGAAGATCCATACAAAATTACATATAATTTATACAAACGAATCTTCCCGATTTAACTAATCGTTGATTTAATGCTTCTGGTACATTCATGTCATTACGCACATGCATTTACACAAACACTTTCATCGCCAGTCAGCGTCGATCCTTGATACTAGAGCCAGTTTCTCTCAGAACTGGTGCCTCTGTATAGAAATCAACATTGTTCCACTTGTCGTGTGTACACCCAAGAGCACGAATATAGGAGCCTAATATAAAACCTAAAATCAGAATCGGGCACGCCTGATGGACACCAACCCCATGCAACCCCCTTCCTCTTCTTCCTCCCCTTACACCCATTCAGTATTCTGGAATATCGTTGAAAAAACAGGTTACATGTGAGGTATAGCTATTACAATAACCTATCGGAATGCGTCTGTTTACATCACATAGAACTCATTAACATACATATGTATGGGTGTTACACAATCATAATGTGGCTAACGATTGTATTAATCATTCATATCATGGAATATGACCTTTAAATATGTACTTTAGCAACATTATTTTCCAGAACTGGGGTTACCTATCAGTGCACAGTATTAAAGAGCATATTAATCGGTACAGTCCAAAGTTGGTGTGGCATTCAGAAGATTTGAAAAATAAAAATGAATCCCCATTGTATACCCCATAAAGTGTTTAGAAGTATTGATTTTAAGATAAATAAATAGATGAGCATATCTTCATCACTCAGGTTTTGTAGCATTGATGGGGGCACGGGTGGCCCAGTCGTCTAAGGCGCCGCGATCCGCTGTGCAGAGTTGCGTCCCTTGGGCACGCCAGAAATCTATGATGGTGGGTTCGAATCTCGATTTTGTTTCTAAGTTTGTCAGCACCATGCCCGTGCTCGTGGGTTTCACCGAAATGGTAAACGTCTGAGACCTGCATCACTTCGGGCTGTCCTCCCACATTAAGCTGACACGCCGTGATGTAACTGGATTACTGTTAAAAGCGGCGTAAACCCAACTCATTCACTCACTCACTCATAGCATTGATAAAGATGAGCTTCTGTACGTTCTGTACTTTGATGTTTTCTGCATGTTTTGTTTACTCGCGAGTCATAACGTTCTGTTGTGAAGGCTCCCATACCTGTTGGACCATCACTAGGTCCTGCCACACACACATCGTTCTGCAGATCAATGCAATATCCCTTGTGGCATGTCGCGATGTACACTACATCAGAGACACATTCAATCCAGAGTTGACAAGTGTAGGGATGCTCAAACTTTCCAGTCTGGTTCACGCACGTGTCCGCTTAAAAAAATGACAACATAAATACATAATTATTCCTTACAACAAACATAATCGTTTTGACAGTTGAGAATATGATTGCAACGTTGCTGATAAATATTGAAATACAGTGTCTATAAAATGTATTCGAGTACGTTAAATTGTTCAATATTAATTTTCAACCACTTACATGGAATAACATAGACATCCCCACAGGCTGTTGTAGCATTTGCTCCTTCTTTGACGTTACAGCAGACGCTGGAGGCATTCCAGGCCATGCTGAAGGCATAGTAAAACTGGGAGGTTGCTTCCAGGGTACACGCGTCAGTCTGGTTCTCGGCCACAGACTCCTGTGTGATGAAGTTCAGTCTGTCTAGTGTCGTACCATTGGCCAGTGTAGCACTCCAGTACACCTCAGCTGGAGGGATACCCTGTCTGTAGGAGCACACAAACAGTGACGTCTCCTTCCATCTGCCCTCAACGATCTCAAACGGCAAGGTCAAGGTCGGCTTCCCTGAATGAACTTTTATAAAAGAATCCGTAAGTTGTACATTGAGCCACTAATATTGTAAATACAATAGAACTATATAATAACTGATGTTACATATATCGAGTTTTAGTGGCATCTTCTTTAATATCCTATATATGTTTATAGCATGCTGTTGTAATTGAGGTAAAAATGAGAAGTATTGACTACTTACCAAGAACTGTTAAATTAGCCGCCGTTGTGAGATTCCCTTCCTCGCCCACGACACGACATTCATATTCCCCAGAGTCAGTGCAACGTGGATCACTTATCATGTACGTGAACTCAGTCCTGTCCTCGCTGATGTCTGGAGACTGACCCAGGAGAGCGTTATTCTTGAGGAAGTGCACACTGCTGAATGTGTAATTCCTGTCCATATGACAAAGGAGAACCACGTCCCCGCCTCCTTGGTGGACACTGACATCGTCCATCATCAACGTCGGTGGAGGAAGTGATGTTGTTGGAAGGCCGGTGGATGAGGCGTCGTATGATGTTGGGGAAGGATATATCGACGCAGATGTGTAGTCAGACGTAACAGGACTTGTCATGAGACTTAAATATGTGTTTAATACATCAAGGCTTGCTGATTCGACAGCTGAACCACTGCTAATACCAACAGAACTTGATGTTTGGACAACAACATCCGGGCTTGATGTTTGGACAGCTACATCCGGGCGTGATGTTTGGACAACAACATCCGGGCTTGATGTTTGGACAACTACACCCGGGCTTGATGTTTGGAGGACTACATCCGGGCTTGATGTTTGGACAGCTACCTCCGGGCTGGTTGTTTGTAGAACAACATCCCGGCTTGATGTTTGGATAACTACACCCGGGCTTGATGTTTGGACAACTACATCCGGGCTTGATGTTTGGACAACAACATCCGGGCTTGATGTTTGGACAGCTACCTGCGGGCTTGATGTTTGGATAACACCATCCGGGGTTGATGTTTGGAGAACTACATCCGGGCTTGATGTTTGGACAACTACATCCGGGCTTGATGTTTTGACAACAACATCCGAGCTTGATGTTTGGACAACTACATCCGGGCTTGATGTTTGGAGAACAACATCCGGGGTTGATGTTTGGAGAACTACATCCGGGCTTGATGTTTGGACAACAACATCCGAGCTTGATGTTTGGACAACTACATCCGGGCTTGATGTTTGGACAACTACATCCGGGGTTGATGTTTGGAGAACTACATCCGGGCTTGATGTTTGGACAACTACATCCGAGCTTGATGTTTGGACAACTACATCCGGCCTTGATGTTTGGACAGCTACCTCCGGGCTTGATGTTTGGATAACTACATCCGGGCTTGATGTTTGGACAACTACATCCCGGCTTGATCTTTGGATAACTACACCCGGGCTTGATGTTTGGACAACTACATCCCGGCTTGATGTTTTGACAACAACATCCGAGCTTGATGTTTGGACAACTACATCCGGGCTTGATGTTTGGAGAACAACATCCGGGGTTGATCTTTGGAGAACTACATCCGGGCTTGATGTTTGGACAACAACATCCGAGCTTGATGTTTGGACAACTACATCCGGGCTTGATGTTTGGACAACTACATCCGGGGTTGATGTTTGGAGAACTACATCCCGGCTTGATGTTTGGACAACTACATCCGAGCTTGATGTTTGGACAACAACATCCGGCCTTGATGTTTGGACAGCTACCTCCGGGCTTGATGTTTGGATAACTACATCCGGGCTTGATGTTTGGACAACTACATCCGGGCTTGATGTTTGGAGGACTACATCCGGGCTTGATGTTTGGACAGCTACCTCCGGGCTTGATGTTTGGACAGCTACATCCGGGCTTGATGTTTGGAGAACTACATCCGGGCTTGATGTTTGGACATCTACATCCGGGCTTGATGTTTGGACAACTACACCCGGGCTTGATGTTTGGATTTCTACATTCGGGCTTGATGTTTGGACATCTACATTCGGGCTTGATGTTTGGAGGACTACATCCGGGCTTGATGTTTGGACAGCTACCTCCGGGCTTGATGTTTGGACAGCTACATCCGGGCTTGATGTTTGGAGAACAACATCCGGGGTTGATGTTTGGAGAACTACAACCGAACTTAATTTTTGGACAACAACATCTGGGCTTGATGTTTGGACAACTACATCCGGGCTTGATGTTTGGACAACTACATCTGGACTTGTTGTTTGGACAACTACACCAGGGCTTGATATTTGGACAACAACATCCGGGCTTGATGTTTGGAGAACAACATCCGGGCTTGATGTTTGGAGAACAACATCCGGGTTTGATGTTTGGAGAACTACATCCGGGCTTGATGTTTGGAGGACTACATCCCTGCTTGATGTTTGGAAAACTACATCCGGGCTTGATGTTTGGACAACTACATCCGGGCTTGATGTTTGGACAACTACATCCGGGCTTGATGTTTGGATAACTACATCCCGGCTTGATGTTTGGACAACTACATCCGAGCTTGATGTTTGGACAACAACATCCGGCCTTGATGTTTGGACAGCTACCTCCGGGCTTGATGTTTGGACAACTACACCAGGGCTTGATATTTGGACAACAACATCCGGGCTTGATGTTTGGACAACAACATCCGGGCTTGATGTTTGGAGAACAACATCCGGGCTTGATGTTTGGAGAACAACATCCGGGTTTGATGTTTGGAGAACTACATCCGGGCTTGATGTTTGGACAACTACATCCCGGCTTGATGTTTGGAGGACTACATCCGGGCTTGATGTTTGGACAGCTACCTCCGGGCTTGATGTTTGGACAGCTACAACCGAACTTAATTTTTGGCCAACAACATCTGGGCTTGATGTTTGGATAACTACATCCGGGCTTGATGTTTGGACAACTACATCCCGGCTTGATGTTTGGAGGACTACATCCGGGCTTGATGTTTGGACAGCTACCTCCGGGCTTGATGTTTGGACAGCTACAACCGAACTTAATTTTTGGCTAACAACATCTGGGCTTGATGTTTGGAGAACTACATCCGGGCTTGATGTTTGGAGAACAACATCCGGGTTTGATGTTTGGACAACTACATCCGGGCTTGATGTTTGGAGGACTACATCCCGGCTTGATGTTTGGAGGACTACATCCGGGCTTGATGTTTGGACAGCTACCTCCGGGCTTGATGTTTGGAGAGCAACCTCCGGGCTTGATGTTTGGACAACTACATCCGGGCTTGATGTTTGCAGAACAACATCCGGGGTTGATGTTTGGAGAACTACATCCGGGCTTGATGTTTTGAGAACAACATCCGGGCTTGATGTTTGGACAACTTCAACCGAACTTGATGTTTGGACAACTACTTCTGGACTTGATGTTTGGACAACAACATCTGGGCTTGATGTCTGGACAGCTACATCCGGGCTTGATGTTTGGACAACTACATCCGGGCTTGATGTTTGGACAGCTACATCCGGGCTTGATGTTTGGACAACTACATCCGGGCTTGATGTTTCGAAAACCACATCCGGGCTTGATGTTTGGACAACTACATCCGGGCTTGATGTTTGGACAACTACATCCGGGCTTGATGTTTGGACTTCAACATCCGGGCTTGATGTTTGGACAACTACATCCGGGGTTGATGTTTGGACAACTACATCCGGGCTTGATGTTTGGACAACTACATCCGGGCTTGATGTTTGGACAACTACATCCGGGCTTGATGTTTGGACAACTACATCTGGACTTGATGTTTGAGCAACTACATCTGGACTTGATGTTTGGGTAACTACATCCGGGCTTGGTGTTTGGACAGCTACATCCGGGCTTGATGTTTGGACAACTACATCCGGGCTTGATGTTTGGGTAACTACATCCGGGCTTGATGTTTGGACATCTACATTCGGGCTTGATGTTTGGACAACTACATCCCGGCTTGATGTTTTGACAGCTACATCCGGGCTTGATGTTTGGACATCTACATCCGGGCTTGATGTCTGGACAACTACATCTGGACTTGATGTTTGGAGAGCTACACCCGGGTTTGTTGCTTGGACACCTAGATCTGGACTTGATGTTTGGAGAACTACATCCGGGCTTGATGTTTGGACAACTACATCTTGGCTTGAATGTTGGAGAACTACATCTGGACTTGATGTTTGGAGAGCTACACCCGGGCTTGTTGCTTGGACACCTAGATCTGGACTTGATGTTTGGAGAACTACATCTTGGCTTGAAGTTTGGAGAACTACATCTGGACTTGATGTTTGGAAAACAACATCCGGGCTTGATGTTTGGACAACTATATCCGGGCTTGATGTTTGGACAGCTACATCCGGGCTTGATGTTTGGACAACTACATCCGGGCTTGATGTTTGGAGAATTACATCCGGGCTTGAAGTTTGAGTATTTTCGGCCACTGGAAATTAACATAATTGAACAGTGCTTAATGTGAGTTCGACCAATGTTGATATAGTCTTCTTAACTGGATTGATATAACATGTATAAAATAAGACTAGTATGAACAGGATCACTTGCAGAATTGCGGAACACTAAGTTGAACTTAATATGCTTTGAATTCCTTTTCAGTTATGATAGTTCAGATGATGATAAGATAATTGCTGTAAACAGTACACTGTAGAATGTGCCAGAAGCAGTATTCCCACATAGTTTTCATGTGCTCCTGGCACATTCTATAGTGTACTATTCCTGCTGGATCACAGTATTTGCCAAGCATTAATGTCCAGTAGCTTACACAGTAATATAAAGATAGGTTAAGTTGACTTATAGCCCCGCTATTATAATCTTGACTCACCGTGACGACAATGCTGGTTTCTTTTTGAAAACTATATTTAATTCAGATTTAAATTAAGACGTCATACTCCAAGTGTAAACTAGTAAGCGTAAGATATCCCAAATTAGTGAGGTTAAGGTCTATCGAAACATCATCTACACTTTCATAAGATTTACACTTATTATTACATATGCAACGATCAGCCCCAAATTTTCGTCAACTGTCACCCGCCTCCGTGGTATAGTAGCTGGAGCGTCTGCCCGGATCGGTGGTTCGATCCGCTGGCTGCTTCATTCCAAAATACTTTTAAATATTTGTGGAACTTGTACTAATGCCTGGCGCTCGGCATTAAGGGTAGAGAACTGATCGGCTCGGAGTCAGTATACCATGTCTGAGAGGGATATCCATGTTAAACTGCAGCTTGGTATAACAGTGCAAGAGCACTATAAAACAGACATACGTTTGTGCTGTTACAATGTAACAGATACACAGACGTGCATGCACGTCGCTGTTTGAGCGGAATAATCTTGAAAGCGACGTTAAACTCCATTTCACCTCAGACCCCAGTAGACCAAATTCGATTTTAGCTGAATATATTATTATTAATATCTTTTACAAAACAAAACTTGTTAAGCACTAGACTCGGGTCAACTTTTTACTCTATGCATTCATGTCAGGGGAACGCTTTGTCATCAACCTGTCTTACCGGGCTTTACTGCGGGTTTTTCCTGACTCGTCTCGTCTACAGTGGTAACAACAACTGTCACAGACTCTGAAGCGATGACGTAGATAGATACTCTCGTAACTGAGGATGAGGATGTGGATGAGGGGGGTTTGAAGATGTTTGTCACTGCAACCTGCACAGGAGCTGAGTTTTGGGCAGTGAAGTAGAAAAGAGCCACAATGACGACAGAGCCATTTCTGCAATACAAATTGAGTCAGTGTGAAGGCAGTATGTACAACAGAACGCATTTTAAACAATGCCAAAACATTCATATGTTGTTTGTTTCCTGTTACCAGAGAACATTTACACGAAATATATTTGTAAAAATATGTTGTTTGGTTTCGGTATGGTACCAGTCTTTACCGTTATTGTGTCATATACCGATGTGGATATGTGCTTAGCAGCGGACACATGTAATGCCAAATGGACAAGAACAGACACAATACTGGTACAATGACATGTAATTAAAGGGAAGCAACTACGAGTGTCACACTTTTATACTTGTCATAATGATTATATGTTCGCTTATCGTCTTGTTTGGGCACACAATAGTTCATTCTTATCCTTGGTCTCTCTTCTTAATCACTTAAATTAGCCGAATTGTCAATATGGTCAAATAAAGCTTGTAGAGGTGTTAATTGCCTTCATCTGGTTCTCATGATAAACCTTTACTGAAGAATGAAAAGGGTATGAAGCTCTTTTGTTGTTAAAATATATCACCATTAGCAAATATGATCATTGCCAATCAATCGAGTTTTCTACTACCAACATTACATATTAGTTTAGGCGTCTCTAAGGCCAGGTTTACACAAATCGTTCCAATAAACGTAATCAACAACTTCTCCTCCCACTTCTACTACTACTACTACTACTACTACTAACCCTGCTACTACTACTACAACTACTACTACTACTACTATTACTTCTTATACTTCTACCCACTACTACTACTACTACTACTACTACTACTCCCCTGCTAATACTACCTACCCTGCTACTACTACAACTACTACTACTACAACAACTACTACAACTACTACTACTACTACTACTACTACTACTACTACTACTACTACTCCCCTGCTAATACTACTAACCCTGCTACTACAACTACTAGTACTACTACTCCCCTGCTACTACTAACCCTGCTACTACTACTACTACTACTATTACTATTACTACTTCTTCTTCTCCCAACTACTACTACTACTACTACTTCTTCTCCCCCTGCTACTACTACTACTACTACTACTACTACTACTACTACTATTTGTACTTCTCCCCCTGCTACTACTACTACTGCTACTGGTACTTCTCCCTCTTCTAGTAATACCCCTGCTACTACTACTACTACTTCTACTACTATTATTACTACTTTTACTTATCCCCCTGCTACTACTTCTACCACTACTACTACTACCACTACTACTACTACTACTACTACTACTACTACTACTACTACTACAACTACTACTACTACTTCTCCCCTGCTAATACTACTAACCCTGCTACTATTACTACAACTACTACTATTTCTAATTCTTCTACACTCACTACTACTCTTACTACTTCTGCCCCTGCTACTACTACTACTAGTACTACTACTACTACTACTACTACTTATACTACTATTACTACTATTACTACTATTACTACTACTACTACTACTACTAATACTACTTCTATTCTACTTCTCCCCTACTACTACTACCCCTGCTACTACTACTACTACTACTACTACTACTACTACTACTACTACTACTACTGCTACTACTACTACTACTACTACTACTACTTGCACTTCTCCCCCTGCTACTACTTCTATTTTAACTATTACTTCTCCCCCTGCTACTTCTACTACCACTACTACTACTACTACTACTACTACTTCTACTATTACTATTACTACTACTGCTCCCTCCGTTTGATGTTCTTTCTATAAAACTTAGGTTACCAAGATTCAACCAAGCAGATACCTGGCACTTTTAACTGCACATCCCTGGTACCCGGTTGTAGTTTTGTCTTTATCCACAGCGTTGCCCACCTAAGAACAGGGGAACAAATCAAAACCTGAACTCAAGCTACACAAATATTTCTACCAGCTACTTGCATACTCCTGTCAGCTACCCGCATACTCCTGTCAGCTACTTGGATAGTCCTGTCAGCTGCTTGCATACTCCTGTCAGCTACTGGCACACTCCCGTCAGTTACATGCATACTCCTGTCAGCTACCCGCATACTCCTGTCAGCTACTTGCATACTCCTGTCAGCTACTTGCATACTCCTGTCAGCTACTTGCATGCTTCTGTCAGCTACATGCATACTCCTGTCAGCTACTTGCATACTCCTGTCAGCTACCCGCATACTCCTGTCAGCTACATGCATACTTCTGTCAGCTACCCGCATACTCCTGTCAGCTACATGCATACTCCTGTCAGCTACCCGCATACTTCTGTCAGCTACTTGCATTCTCCTGTCAGCTACTTGCATACTCCTGTCAGCCACACGCATACTCCTGTCAGCTACACGCATACCCCTGTAAGCTACATGCATACTCCTGTCAGCTACTTGCATACTCCTGTCAGCCACACGCATACTCCTGTCAGCTACACGCATACCCCTGCAAGCTACATGCATACTCCTGTTAGCTACATGCATGCTCCTCTCAACTACACCAATACTTCTGTTTGCTACACTTATACTCCAGTCAGCTACACTTATACTCCAGTAAACTACATGTATACTCCTGTCAGCTACATGCATACTCCTGTCAGCTACACTTATACTCCAGTCAGCTACATGCATACTCCTGTCAGCTTCATGCATACTACTGTCAGCTACATGTATACTCCTGTCAGCTACATGCATACACCTGTCAGCTACATGTATACTCCTGTCAGCTACATGCATACTCCTGTAAGCTACATGCATGATCGTGTCAAATACACACATACTCCTCTCAGCAACACGCATACTTCTGTCAGCTACTTGCATTCTCCTGTCAGCTACTTGCATACTCCTGTCAGCCACACGCATACTCCTGTCAGCTACACGCATACCCCTGTAAGCTACATGCATGCTCCTCTCAACTACACCAATACTTCTGTTTGCTACACTTATACTCCAGTCAGCTACACTTATACTCCAGTAAACTACATGTATACTCCTGTCAGCTATATGCATACTCCAGTCAGCTACACTTATACTCCAGTCAGCTACATGCATACTCCTGTCAGCTTCATGCATACTACTGTCAGCAACATGTATACTCCTGTCAGCTACATGCATACACCTGTCAGCTACATGTATACTCCTGTCAGCTACATGCATACTCCTGTAAGCTACATGCATGATCGTGTCAAATACACACATACTCCTCTCAGCTACCCGCATACTTCTGTCAGCTACTTGCATTCTCCTGTCAGCTACTTGCATACTCCTGTCAGCCACACGCATACTCCTGTCAGCTACACGCATACCCCTGTAAGCTACATGCATACTCCTGTCAGCTACTTGCATACTCCTGTCAGCCACACGCATACTCCTGTCAGCTACACGCATACCCCTGTAAGCTACATGCATACTCCTGTTAGCTACATGCATGCTCCTCTCAACTACACCAATACTTCTGTTTGCTACACTTATACTCCAGTCAGCTACACTTATACTCCAGTAAACTACATGTATACTCCTGTCAGCTACATGCATACACCTGTCAGCTACATGTATACTCCAGTCAGCTACATGCATACTCCTGTCAGCTACATGCATACTACTGTCAGCTACATGTATACTCCTGTCAGCTACATGCATACACCTGTCAGCTACATGTATACTCCTGTCAGCTACATGCATACTCCTCTCAGCTACATGCATTCTCTTGTCAGCTACATGTATACTCCTGTCGGCTACATGCATACTCCTGTAAGCTACATGCATGATCGTGTCAAATACACACATACTCCTCTCAGCAACACGCATACTCCTGTTAGTTAGATGAATACTCCTGTCTATAAGCAGACTCCTCTCAGTCTCAGGCAGACTCTTTTCATCTACAAGCACATTTCTGTCAGCTTCATGCATTATCCTGCCATATACAGGCATACTCCTATCAGCTACATGCATCCTCCTGTCAGCTGCATGCATAGTTCTTTTTGCTGCACGCATACTTCTGGCAGGTACATGCATACTTCTGTCTAAATGCATGCTTCTGTCAGCTACACGCATGCTCCTTTGTGCTACAAGCATAGTCCTGTTAGCTACATGCACACTTCTGTCAGCTACATTCATACTTCTCTCGCCTACACACCTACTCCTGTTTGCTTCATACATATACCCTCTTAGCTACATGCATACTCCTGTCAGCTACGCGCATACTCCTGTCAGCTACATGCATAACCCTGTCAGCTACATACATACATCGGTCACCAATACTCACACGCCTCTTAGCTACACAAATACTTCCGCCACTTACACGTATACTTCTGTCAGCTACACGTATACTCCTGTCAGCTACACGCATATTTTCCTATCACCTATACCCATACTCCTGTCAGATACACTCACACGCCTGTTAGATACAAGTATACTTCGGTCAGCTACCCGCATACTCCTGTCAGCTTCAGAAATACTTCTATCAACCACATGCATACTCCTGTCATTTACATGCATACTTCTGTCAGCTACACGAATTACACTGTCGGACACTTGTACTCATGTCAGCCCCACATAAACTCCTGAATGCTACACGCATACCCCTGTCAGGTGCAAGCATATTCCTGTTTGCTACAAGCATACTCCTGTCAGCTACATGCATTCTCCTGTCAGCTACTTGATTACGCTTGTCAGCTACAGTAATACCTCTATCAGCTACACGAATACTCATGCCAGTTACACGAATACTTCTGTCAGCTACACGAATACTTCTGTCAGCTACACGAATACTTCTGTCACCTACACGAATACTTCTGTCAGCTACACTCATTCGCCTGTTAGCTGTATCCATACTCCTGTCGGCTACATGCACACTGCTGTCAGCTACATGCATACCCATGTTAGCTACACGCATACCCCTGTTAGCTACACGAATACTTCTGTCAGCTACATACATACTCTTGTCATCTACATGCATACTCCTATCTGCTACATGCATACTCCTATCTGCTACATGCACACTCCTGTCAGCTACATTCATACCCATGTTAGCTACACGCATACCCCTGTTAGCTACACGAATGCTTCTGTCAGCTACATACAAACTCTTGTCACCTACATGCATACTGCTATCTGCTGCATGCATACTTCTGTCAGCTACGCGCATATTCTTCTCACCTACACACATACTTCTGTTAGCTACATACATACTCTTGTCGGCTACACGCATACTCCTGTCAGCTACATGCATACTCCTGTTAGCTACACTTACACGTCAGTTAGCTGCACGCATACTTCTGTCTGCTAGATCCATACTCCTGTCAGCCACATTCATTCTCCTGTCAGCTACACGCATACCTTTGTCAGCAACATTGATACTCCTCAACTACATTCTCACAAGACATGTCAAGTCCATCACTTCTAAACATGCACAGGCTCTGTTTAACCGTTACGGCATACTACCACGGTGTCTCGTTTATGATAAAACGCTTGTTAGAATATTGAAAGTTAAACTGTACATTGGAGAAAAGAAACATTTTGTTCAGAGAGTATTGCAAAATCATTACATTTGCACTTAGTGTTATTCTGTTTTCAAAGCAATAACAGTTTTTGAATTATCATATATACCACTTACATTTGAACAGAAGTTATTTTGAAGTGCTGTAAATTCGGGAGACGTTTTATCCGACAGTGCCTCGGTATAGTTGACATTTAATACGCGAAGCTTTACCTCCGCTCTTGCTGCAATCATAGAAGAAATGAACATGTATCACCACGGCATGTTATGTATCTGAATATACAGTCCTGAGAACCTTCTGTCCACACAGTCACGTGTTTGCAATGACCAGGTATTTACATGTGGACTGATCGTTGTGATGGACCTGGTATATTATTTACATGTACTGAATTTATGATAGACAAGGCATTTTTATTCACATGAACACTGTATAGTGAGCGTATAGTGTGTTATTTCCACGTACAGTGAACGTTGTAATGGATCGGGCATATTATTACCATATACACGGGATATAGCGTTATGTTAGACCAGGCAGTTTATTAACATATACACAGGATAGAGCGTTATGATAGACCAGGTATTTTATTGATATATACACGGGATAGAGCGTTATGATGGACCAGGCATGTTATTACCATATACACAGGATAGAGCGTTATGATAGACCAGACATTTTATAACCATATACACAGTAGAGAGCGTTATGATTGACCAGGCATTTTATTACCATATACACGAGACAGAATGTTATGATAGACCAGGCATATAATTACCATATACACGGGATAGAGCCTTTTGATAGACCAGGCATTTTATTGACATATACACAGGGATAGAGCGTTATGATAGACCAGACATGTTATTAGCATATACACGTGATAGAGCGTTATGATAGACCAGACATGTTATTGACATATACAGAGGATAGAGCGTTATGATAGACCAGGCATTTTATTGACATATACACAGGGATAGAGCGTTATGATAGACCAGGCATGTTATTGACATACACACAGGGGTAGAGCGTTATGATACACCAGGCATATTATTGACATACACACAGGGATAGAGCGTTATGATAGACCAGGCATGTTATTGACATACACACAGGGATAGAGCGTTATGATAGACCAGGCATGTTATTGACATACACACAGGGGTAGAGCGTTATGATACACCAGGCATGTTATTGACATACACACAGGGATAGAGCGTTATGATAGACCAGGCATATTATTGACAAGTTCAATGAAGGTTATGATAGAACGTTGATATAAACTATTATCATGAAATGTTTACTTACTGTACTGATACTTGGCACCTGAAATATTGACCAAATAATTTCTTAAGAAGTATTCTAGAGAAAGTTTCCTACGTGCACCTTTTCATAACATGTACCGGTGTCCCGGTTAGAATACGCTCCTTGCATACGTTCTCCATAATGGTTTGACCATACTATGGACGACATTATTAACATGGAGTCGTGATATAGCTGGATAGTGCTGTCAGGAGCAAAACAAGAAATATATAACTCCAACCCTTACGAATGTACAAGTGCTAGACTAAGTATATGTGATGTTTAGAGGATGGGTATTTATTCATGCTAACTATGTTTTACTGTTGCATAACTATGGAATCCTGGAAGGGACACTGTTATGTTGTCGGCCTAATGAAAACAAGCAAAATGTGTCAAAATTAACCTAAGTGCGACAACGTCAAATTTTAACTTATTGCCGTATTGTGGCGTTGTTGCGCTTTAAATACTATTGTAGAGTTTTGTGAAAAAGGGGAGACGTTTTTCAAAGTTAAAATGTGTCTCGTTGTCGCATTGTCGCCGTATCAACAATGGCGAATGAATGAGCGATAGTCGCATTGTCGCCGTATCAAAAATGGCGATTTCATGAGCGATAGTCGCATTGTCGCCGTATCAAAAATGGCGATTTCATGAGCGATGGTCGCATTGTCGCATCTGCGTTTCCTGTTCATAATTCCAGTTTATTCAGAGAAAACAACTAAACGTCATCACATAATTGCTCACTCAGGCCTTTGTTCCGTGTGAGATTAAAATATGCATCACAAAGAAACTTGCATTTAAACATACTGTTATAAGGTAAAAATGCACCCCAAACCTTAGAAAATTATTACAAAAACAATTCCAATAGAGATTACTCTCGTAAGCGTTTCGTGATTGCTTTAATGCTGACATTGCCATTTGATAAATCTACAGGGACAAAACACATACCAGTCGGTTTGGCTCAGAATGAATACAATGAAGTTTCAAAATAACTGAGAATCGGGGATAGTCTTTAAAATGTCATAAAGGTTCACAACAATGAATACCCTGTACCCAACAATGTCTGCTATTTGTTGTTTTTATTCCCATCACTGGAAAAAGTTGTTTAAGAAACTATCAAGTTGTTATGTGTACAAGTTGACATCTTGAACGGAGGGGACACAACGGTAGGAGGAACAGGTAAACGACTAAATCTAATGAAAAATGCATTGATATTTTTTGGAAATGTGTAACCAGAAACTGTTCAGTTAAGAAATGGGCTTATGCAGAATAAATCCATTGTTGGATGTCAACTACTGTCTATCATATTTGCACCATATTCAAGAGAAACTACTTTAATTGCCTGTTGTCACGTTGTCGCACTTGTATTAATTTCATCATATTTCAAATGTTTACAAAACGCCACAGCGACATCAAAATGTGGCCTTGTGTCCATATGGTGCTTCTATTAATTTCTGCATTTTTCAGTATTTTAACAAAGTGTCACAGTGTGACACACATAGAATTTCCTTAAAATATCCGCTACGCCCTTATTCATTTCTACTGTATACATATAGTCATATAGGATCGTGTCAGTTGTAGTCTGTTCGCCATAAACGCCCGGAGATTGAGGTGGAGCACCCCTCCCCATCAATGGCAGGGCATGAAACTCCGCTCATCGTTGAGTTTTAACTTTGTAATGTTAGACGTTTCGGCACAGTGATGCTGATGTTGTCCTTCATTCCCCCAGCATTGTCTTATTGTCCCGCTTATATTGGGTACTGCACACGTACAGTACTTTAACAAAGCGAAGCAGTGCGACATTTCATCATATGTCGCATTGTTACAATGTCAATGTTTGAGGAAAGTCCGAAATAAGGCAGATCTGAGACTTAACTACTTTGGTGAAACACACAAGCACAAGAATGGTGCTGACAAACCTAGTAGCATAGTCAGGACGACTCGGGGATTCGAACTAGCGATGATAGGTTTCTGTCACAACCCGGAGACGCAACTATACACAGCGAACTGCGCCCCCTAAGACGGCTGGGTGAACCGTGCCCCCTCAGCGATTTGGACAGTTGTTGGAAACTGTTTGTTTGTTTGTTTGTCGTTAAACACTCCATTCCAGCTATAAAACGGCGGTCTGTAAATGATCGAGTCTGGGCCAGACAATCCAGTCATTGCCACCGTGAGCATCGATCTACGCAATTGACATACGATGGCATGCACCAACCAAGTCAGCGAACCAGACCATCCGATCCCGTTAGTCGCCTTTTGCGACAAGCATAGTCGCCTTTTACAGCAAGCGTGGGTTGCTGAAGACCTATTCTATCCCGGATGTTCAGGGAAATAAATCAGAAGCAAATGTACAAAGAATTTGTTTTTCGCCCTGAAAACACTTAACTTTATAAACTCGACACCGACAACAAAAATGCATGAAAGAATTTCTGAGGATACGTACATTTGCTTCAGTATCATTGGAACTAAAAATATCCACTGGAATTTGATATGGAGTATAACCATGTCTGCGCATGTGTAGATTAATGCACTTACAACGCCACTAATGGAGAAGGACAACAACGTCACAATGCGACACTATCAATGCTCAATATGGTGTGCATTTCAACGTCCTTTTATTCATTTTAAAGTTATAGAATTCCACATACATGTATGCAGCACATTTCCACATATAACTAAACATCCCCATTTTCACTCTCTTTGTGGTGTCCCGATCGCGAGTCGGCTGTTGGATGGGTGGTAGTTCCGAACCTAAACCTGAATGCGACAGTGTCATCACTTGTACACACAATAGCCAGGAGCGTATATAAAAAACATCAACACAATCATGTACATGAGATATATATTGTCTGGCTATGCGGCACAAAGTAGCATGTCACCTCCCTACAGGACAATACAGCTGTGATGTCGTGATGGCCCAATGCACACCGCCGTCTTTAACGTATCATACTCGTGGTGAATACCCCTGCTGTGTGTTTATGCTGTTTTAACTGCCATCCCTAATGCATGAGATTTGTAAATCGATATGTACGCATGTCCTTTGTGGCCATGTTCACTTGAACACAATGGTTGCCGTGGGACAGGGATTTGAAGAGACTCATATATTCTGTAAATTCTTTTTCATGAAACATGAACGTTTGTGACATTGCCCTGTTGTTATTCTCATTTGATCGACACATATTACCTTTGAATAATTTAAAATTCTTTTCACATTAGTCTGCATATATATGTAGATTGATATATTATGTTAATATACCAGTGTTACATTTATCACGGGTATGTGTTTTTGTGACGAAAGTGAGATGTTCGTGACGCAGAATGTATTTGTAAAGTTTCTAGCACATGATGTAATGCATCTATATCATGTATTTATGTCTTAACGCTTTTCATTTAAGCTGCACAAACACTGCTGTTGGATTGCGCAAGTCCAACTGGTCCCGTTAAAACACTTCAATCTGAAGAGGTTCTGCAAATAGATTCGCGTGTACATGTCGCATTCTGTATCACTGAATCGCAGGTTGCGTGAGACATTTCCAGTATGAGCTGGCTATAGCAAAATCTTCTTCAGGGATCAATTTTCAACTACAGCCTTGGGTCTGTCCAATATGGGGATCTATCCCACCCACATACATTTCCATACGTACGTAGCTTCCATGTTGTCAGACAAGATTTATTTCCTGGGCTATTTGGGCACTTTATGTATTAGTGACTATCATGCCGTCGCCTTTAAAACTACATTACAATTCACCTGTCACCAGAGAGGAGATACCCACGACCTCACCAATCATGCTAGATATAGCTTCTGACGTGTTTAACCTGTATACTGCTAATGGAATGACATGTTACATTTACCGAAATATTGGTGTTTTCTACACGAGTGAGTGTGGTTTGCCTGCATATTTGTGTATCCATAGTTCTTGACACATGTTTAAATCCTGTCAGTTAAAGTTTCTTCTATCCTTCATGTATTCAAATACACGCTTGAAATGTTTAGATTTATATGTGATGGTAATTGCGCCAAGTAAAGATATAATAAAAACAACACTGTCCTGAAAAATGACCTAAAAATATGTATCACTTTGATAACAATCAGACACGTTTGAAAGTTTCGAATAAAATGGACGATTCTCACTAACAATTTTCTGATCAGTCAATCATTTTGTTGGACTGCCATGTTGCTATAGGTTCAACATTAGATTTAAAATTATCCTCAAAGTAGTCTGTGTTCATGTACGCTGTCTACCATTGGAATAAACAAACTGATCACTTATAGGAATTGCCTCTTCTTCAATACTCTTAATGTTGTGCAATAAAGAAGCCTAATTCGGACAACGCGTATGTCGCGAAATATCACCTAAAATGTAGGATGGCCAAAATGATGAGGAAACGATATCAATGTAAATCGCTTATTGTTGTAATACTTACATGTATGATGATGGGTGATATGTGTCGATCTCACAAATCTAGGTATATCATTAGGTAGCTTAAATATATACATTTATCATATAATGGGTAGTTTTCTCGGCAGGATAAAGCCAACGGATTAAAACGATATCCGTTGGGGTCATATGCGGATAGAGATGTAAATATCAAAGTTCAGGAAGGACTACTGTCACTGTTTATAAACAAACATGGCGTCGCCCTCGTCATTCGGCGATCGAGTCAGAATTAACCATCGGGAATCTGGATAAACTACAGGGATCAAAAGAACAGTCTAATAATATACTCAGAATCAGTGCTCTAACTGTGACGTAGCTAAGGCATTTTATAAGTTTGGGCAACTTTGGAGATATAAATTTTGAAACGATTTTGCGAGGGCACGAGGCCTAGCCAAGCGGGATCAATAACCATATATGTGCTTGTAGACCTCTGCGACTTAAAACCCTCTCCACAAATTAAAATAGTTGGATTGGGCCGAAATATGTTTGAATTATTATCTTTTTTCGTTTTGTCGCTGTGTGTACATCTGACTACACTTCGTAACGTAATGACAGGACAGACCGACTGTCAACAACGTCTGACCGTGGCCGTGACGTCTCATAGACTAGGGTTAGAGTAGCTTCTCCAGGAAAACTCGCAATGTTTCGGTAATGTTTGTGAGAGAGGGAAAGCGATTTTGAAGCACAGAATTCAAGAATGACATTATATGATAAAGAGGTTATCACGCTTGTGTGTTTGGGGATGGTAAATATCCTGTATTAGGAATAAACACTATGTATTTGGCTCGCCAAGGCTCGCTAAATATAATGTTTATTCCTAATGCAGGATATTTACCATCTCCAAACACACTCGCGTGATAACCACTATATATATGATATTTAACTGAAATTTATTATCCAAACTGGCTCCCACAGGAGCATTATCAACCGGGTTTCAAATATGACCTGGAAGCAAAATTTAAACACGGGCTACCGATGGTGGCAGGTATTATATAGGAATATACACAACAATAAGCTGGAGTTACCATTGGTCAAGAGAACAGCGGTGACGATGGCAGCGACGACGCCAGCGACAATAAGGATGACCAAGATGCAGATTACAATGTAACCAGTGCGGGGTGTAGAGCGTGATGGTGCTTCTGACGTGGCCTCACTGTATGACCCCTGCATGCTGGGGTCAACGTCGATGTCCTTGGACGTGTAGCGGGTTGTGTGCTGAAATTAGACAGATGATCTTTATTTCCCCCGACATTTCAAGGTCATATGGTTGATTAGAATGTTAAGAGAAAAAAACATTAAACAGGGTACCACTGCACAAAGGTATTTTCACGAGAAAAGACTACATGCCAGAATATAAACACCCACATATCTCCCTAGAGGCAGTGTAGGATTGTTGCTTAATTCATTTACTTTACACGCCATATGTATATGATGGACCCTGGGACACAGGTTAGTGAAGACATCCTTGCCATATCAATGCAACTCCTACAAGATCAATCAATAGCTTCACGGCATGGATCATTGCTCAGACTGTCAATCGTTAGTTAACCTGTCCTATTATCAGATAAAGACATCTGTGAAATAGGTGCAAACATTTAGTATACCTCGACGGCGGCGTAAAACAGCATTCTCACTCTTAAACTGCTCTGTACATATTTTTGTTTAATTTTGGTAGATATGTTTTTCTGAATATGGAAGGGGTTTTGCCGCTTTTATTTGTACATCGATAAGTCCACACCGACTTTTATGTTATAAATACCTCCGTAAACGCAAACACATATTGAAGTCAATTCTATCAATAAGTACATCAGCAATAATAACTTCATAGACTGCCCATAGTCACAGAGACATTGTAGAGAACAGTACGATATCAATGACATGGTTCAGAGCAATAATGCCACACAAGCCCCGCCCATTTTATTATCCGACAATAGAAAAACAGAAGAAAATTAGTGATCGTGGCCTAAATCTTTTTTCGGTCTAAAGAGATATAAGCAAGCAAAAGTCGCTAGCTTATTCTTAAGAAACGTCACCTGTCAGCTCACTGACGAACCGTGACTACAGACGCCTCTTTCAGCTCTTCACTCTTCAAAGATGTTGAAAATAGTACTTAGCATGAAATTATTCCACCAATAACCTTGACCCCGGCAGTCATATATCTGAGTGTAGAACCAGGAAGTGTGTAAAGGATTTATTCTTCTCCGCTGCGTCAGTGTCAGAATGACAAGCATCCACAAACCACCTTGCGTGGAAACATTAATGCAAGCCTTGAAATTTCTATCGCATACTTGACACGCGTGGCACCCTTATAAAGTCTCATATTCAAGATAGTAAAGATCCATACGCTGCACACCCGTATGCTAGCCCCGAGTAGACTATTGGTGGTCGTGATGGAACATAGGGGGTACCTGGAGTCGGTAGGACTATGGTTATCCGCCCAAGTGAAATAAAAAGCAGTAAGAGAAGAGAATTAGGCACCCGTCACTGCTTGCAAATTAACTGCAACCAAGTAAACGTTTGAAGCGAAACGTCGCAACGTTGTGCAAGTAAACATATTTTCTCTTCTGTTGAAGTGAGGCAATAGTATTGTTTCTACTGAAACGGCAATGGCGGAATGATATCGCTTCCAGTGAAATCTATATACGAGGCATTCTCTTTAAATTAGCACATTTTGCTTCGATTTGATACTTGTCTCCGTGGAAACTGCTCAATCCAAATGTGGGTAAGGGAATAAATTGATGAACTGCAGTGAAAATATCCCTTTCTCAGAAAACTCATTTTTTTCACACTGAAGTATGTAATAAAAAAAATTAAGCATTTGTTTAAAAGTAACAAACTAACTCACCTGTGTTTAATACCAGGCCGCGGCAGACCAAAGTACGTTAAAAGATTATACAACGTTGCATACATGTTGAGAGTGTGAAATTTACATTCACAGTCGAACTGCTCATCCATCAGAATCTTAGTGAATTTGTGCCCGCCTCCTAGGTCTAGTGGTAGAGCGTCCGCCCGGAGAGCGAAAGTACCGGGGTTCGATCCCCGACCGCGTCATACCCTGTCTGGCGCTCGGCATTGAGGTGTAAAAAACAAGGACTGGTAGGCTCGGGGTCAGCATACTGTGTCTGAGTGCTGTATTCATGTTAAACTGCGGCATGGCATCTCAGTGTGCTGGCACCATTAAAATATGCATCAGTCCGGACTAGTACAAGCAACCCCAAAAATTGATTTACATTATTATAATTATTCGAATCTGTTGCTTTTAACAATAGAAACGTGGACTGATTTAACAATTTCCATATTGACTGAGTCACTAGATGGAGAGTTGAATAAAACGTTTTCAGGTTATATCCATGGGTGTAAAAAAAAATCCTTATTGTTTCTAATATTTGCAGAGTTTCTGCATGTAAATCGAAGCTGTAAAGCACGATAACCACATTTGCTGTCTGAACTGTTGGATACATGTCGATTGAACTGATGAGCCTTTCATTCATTGTAGCCGAGCCTGGGGTGACAATGCAAAATTTGACAGAATCCAGATCCAAAGCTTATATTTTTATTTGAAGTGCTGATTAAAGTGTTATAATCTCTTAATGAGCAGGCGTTAATATAGTCAAGGGGAAGAGCGTTCCACAGTTTAATCGTTGTAGAAAGATACGACTTTACATACCTTTGGGAACCTTCATTTAGTTGTTTATAAACTTGAACTGGTGCAATACCGGTATTTATTTTATTAAAGGTTTTCAGTTTGAAACGATTTCTTCTTTTGAGATTTGAATAATTTGTTTTTGACTGGTGCCACGAACCGCAGCGTTATTGGAGCGCCGCGAGGCTGTTTTGCTTGCACGATATCGTTTCAAGAATGAGTGAGTGAGTAGGTGCGTTGGGTTTAACGCCGCTTTTAACAGTTTTCCAGTTATATCGCGGCGTGTCAGCTTAATGTGAGAGGAAAACCCGAAGTTATGCAGGTGCAGATGCATAAACATAATCGGGGCGAACCGGGACTGGAACCCACAATCATGGGATTCTGGCGTGCCCAAGGGACACAGCTTTGTACAGCGAATCGCTGCGCCTTTGACGACTGGGCCACCCGTACCCCCTCGTTTCAAGAGGCCAGGTAATGCTAAGTATGCGCCAAAGTCCTTCACCCCTAATACTGTTGGATCTGATGTGAAGTGATGTGTTAATGACATGTTAATAGAAATCACTTTCAACATATCATATTGCTTCAACAACGAGCCTGTTATTCTTAGCTTTAATGTCATGACCGCTTTAAACACATTTCCTCGTTTGTATAAGCATAACACCATTGGTATTCATGTGTGTAGCTTATATGAAACCTGATCAAGCAACTTTCATATTAAATCGCAAAACTCAGTTCACTGTTTTCTTCGCTGTATGTAGATTAAAAGTATATGTGTATGTTTTGCCTGTTGCTTCACTAGCTATTCATCTCGCCAATAAAATCTGAGTTTCTTACATGTATGCAAGGTTAAGTTTTATTGAGTGTTTATCCATTTTCAATGTTCTGGTCAATACAATGGTCTGGTTTATACAAGGAGATGTTAAAGCCCAGGTCGTCCCCTGCCGCCACCATCATGGGACACATCATGCAGTCACACAATATCCAGGTTATCATTGTGTCAGTCTGTGCTGGGTATTATACGTCGGTATTTCATATTTGTCCACGACCTGATATAACTGGAATACTGTTGAAAGTGGCATTAAATCCAACTCACTCGCTCATATTTATCGTTACGGTCTGTTGTATGTGAAAAGTGAAAAGAGTTCGATTTATCAACGCTTTAACCTGTATTCCAGTGGGCATCGTATCTGTCTGTTGTAAAAGATGATCGGTATATTGCGGCTTTGAACGATATTCCAGTTATGTGACATCGTGTCTTCCTATTGTGAAAGAAGGTTCGGTATATCGCGGCTTTGAACGGCATTCCAGTTACACGACAGCATGTCTGCCTATTGTGAAAGGAGTTGGGTACAACCCGGATTTGAACGGTATTGCATTTATATGACATCGTGTTTGCCTTTTGTGAAAGGTGTTCGGAATATCGCGGCTTTGAACGGCATTCCAGTAACATGACAGCATGTCTGCCTATTGTGAAAGGAGTTCGGTTTATACGGATATTGAATATGTTACAGATCATGAGTAACATTAGCAATATGTTCCAGATGAAGGGGCATATACATCAGAAACATGTTCCAGATGAAAGGGCATATACATTAGAAACATGTTCCAGATGAAGGGGTATATACATCAGAAACAAGTTCCAGATGAAAGGGCATATACATTAGAAACATGTTCCAGATGAAGGGGCATATACATTAGAAACATGTTCCAGATGAAGGGGCATATACATTAGAAACATGTTCCAGATGAAGGGGTATATACATCAGAAACATGTTCCAGATGAAGGGGCATATACATTAGAAACATGTTCCAGATGAAAGGACATATTCATCAGAAACATGTTCTAGATGAAGAGGCATATACATTAGAAACATGTTCCAGATGAAGGGGTAAATACATTAGAAACATGTTCCAGATGAAAGGGCATATACATCAGAAACATGTTCCAGATGAAGGGGTATATACATTAGAAACATAATCCAGATGAAGGGGTATATACATTAGAAACACGTTCTTGATGAAGTGGTATATACATTAGAAACATGTTCCAGATGAAGGGGTATATCCATTAGAAACATGTTCCAGATGAAGGGGTATATACATTAGAAACATGTTCCAGATGAAGGGGCATATACATTAGAAAAATGTTCCAGATGAAGGGGTATATACATCAGAAACATGTTCCAGATGAAGGGGCATATACATTAGAAACATGTTCCAGATGAAGGGGTATATACATTAGAAACATGTTCCAGATGAAAGGGCATATACATTAGAAACATGTTCCAGATGAAGGGGCATATACATTAGAAACATGTTCCAGATGAAGGGGTATATACATTAGAAACATGTTCCAGATGAAAGGGCATATACATTAGAAACATGTTCCAGATGAAGGGGCATATACATTAGAAACATGTTCCAGATGAAGGGGCATATACATTAGAAACATGTTCCAGATGAAGGGGTATATACATCAGAAACATGTTCCAGATGAAGGGGCATATACATTAGAAACATGTTCCAGATGAAAGGACATATTCATCAGAAACATGTTCTAGATGAAGAGGCATATACATTAGAAACATTTTCCAGATGAAGGGGTAAATACATTAGAAACATGTTCCAGATGAAAGGGCATATACATCAGAAACATGTTCCAGATGAAGGGGTATATACATTAGAAACATAATCCAGATGAAGGGGTATATACATTAGAAACATGTTCTTGATGAAGTGGTATATACATCAGAAACATGTTCCAGATGAAGGGGTATATACATTAGAAACATGTTCCAGATGAAGGGGTCTATACATTAGAAACATGTTCCAGATGAAGGGGCATATACATTAGAAAAATGTTCCAGATGAAGGGGTATATACATCAGAAACATGTTCCAGATGAAGGGGCATATACATTAGAAACATGTTCCAGATGAAGGGGTATATACATTAGAAACATGTTCCAGATGAAAGGGCATATACATCAGAAACATGTTCCAGATGAAGGGGTATATACATCAGAAACATGTTCCAGATGAAGGGGTATATACATCAGAAACATGTTCCAGATGAAGGGGCATATACATTAGAAACATGGTCCAGATGAAGGGGCATATACATTAGAAACATGTTCCAGATGAAGGGGTATATACATTTGAAACATGTTCCAGATGAAGTGGTATATACATCAGAAACATGTTCTAGGGAATGGGCGTACATGTATACACAAAAGAAATATGAGAGACGTCGAACAATAGATATTTAAAGTCATTGACTTACCCCATTAAACACATAATCGGTAGAAGGAAACCAGTGCTGCCAACTGAAATGCAAAGATGAAGCACATATTGTGACTATTGTATCGTTTTGCACTATACAATATAAAGATATTCAACCAGAAATGTATAAAAAGTAGAAATAGATCTTTACAAGTTTGACAAATGAATTTTCATATTTTTCTACAAATTAAACATAGTTAGCTGAAAGTGTAACGTACCTTGTATAGTAGGCGTCCATGGAATCTTTCCGAGAGGGCTTCCTACGTCCATCCATTGTGAAGGTATTCAGTCAACAAGTGTCTTGTGATAGGTAAGGCGGCCACTGTAACTCTAGAAGCAAGTGCGTGACATGTGCTCTCGGACCAGGAAGTTGTGTAATGCTGAAATGGAGATATTCCATACAGGAGACAGTGAGCGTCTAACAGTTACACACAGACTCTTTAAACCATTCAAATTATTGTGCATCATCATGCATGCGAATATTTGTTTTCCCTCAAGGTGCATAGTATTTCTCATGAGACACTATATGGTATAGTATCCTCTACTGAAGTACGTAAAACCATGCGGATCGTGTGTGGTGGCGAGGTGACTTCCTGCTTAACAGGCTGCGTGCATTTTCAGATTGGCAGAGTCCCAATCACTCATGCCGTTGTGACTAACCATGCTCGTTAATATACAGGATATGCTTAAACAAAAATGAAAGATTGCACCGAGCAATCTACAAACATGACACCCAAGTTATATCTTCGGCTCCAATGAGTATGTATGTTTTAGTTTAAATATATAGTTGTTTTATGAAAATGAGTTATCTCAACTGAGAACGTCATCTCCCATAGGCTTACATGTATGCTTATTTACAACTAATACATAAACTGACAGAAAGGAAAGAAGAGAAGCAGACAGACATATGTACATTTACATTTCTCACTCAAACCATTTTGTTTTCTTATATATGTATGTACATTCTAAACATCTTTTTGTTCATATGATCTGGTAAAGCTACATTGTCAACTAGCATCAAGTCAATATCAACATCACGAGTAGCTTTCATTATTAACAAAAGCCAGTGCATCAATTCGTTTCTAGCTAATTTAAAAAAAAATGGACATTCAATAAAAAAATTATATGGCAAAGAATATGTTTCCAGGGGAGGGGGTATATGCTAAAGAATGTGTTACCTGGGGAGGGGATATGTGCTGAAGAATATGTTTACAGGGAAGGGGGTATATGCTGAAGAATATGTTTACAGGGGAGGGGATATAGACTGAAGAATATGTTTCCAGGGAAGGGGGTATATGCTGAAGAATATGTTTGTAGGGGAGGGAATATACGCTGTAGAATATGTTTCCAGAGGAGGGGGTATATGCTGAAGAATATGTTTACAGGGAAGGGGGTATATGCTGAAGAATATGTTTACAGGGGAGGGGGTATATGCTGAAGGATATGTTTACAGGGGATATAGACTGAAGAATGTGTTACCAGGGAAGGGGGTACAGACCGAAGAATATGTTTCCAGGGAAGGGAATACAGACGGAAGAATATGTTTCCAGGAAAGGGGGTACAGACTGAAGAATATGTTTCCAGGGAAGGGGATACAGACTGAAGAATGTGTTTCCAGGGAAGGGGATACAGACCGAAGAATGTGTTTCCAGGGAAGGGGGTACAGACTGAAGAATGTGTTTCCAGGAAAGGGGGTACAGACTGAAGAATGTGTTTCCAGGGAAGTGGTATAGATGAACTCAACCTTGTAGAAGTGACAGCGGCTAACTGAGATAGCCAACAGCCCTCCCCTTATGAAGTTCTTGAGAGTAGAATAGGTGTCTCTTGGGGACATTTAATTGATTAGTAAATCACGTTACATGCGATTCGAACATGATACCGTCACCCAGATTGAATTGTTGTTGAAATACTTTTGAAGATTTAACTCAAACTTCGTCATATAAATAAAATTCTAACAGGACATTTCATCTTTTGTTCAAAACATATGACAACAGCTAGAAAATATATCCTGTGTATCTTGATCTTCTTTTCATAAGCTATTCTAAACAGTTTATCTAAGGAATATATACAGCCACTTCGTAGCTTCGTACTTCATCTTTTATTATTAGTATAACTAACATGGGGAGAGTTTATGAAGTAACCAGTAGTATGTTAAATACGAGTTATCACCGTCACATTGCAAACCATAGGCAATACCTGTCATTGTACGATTCCCACTATAACATGAGTGTGGGTTTATGATTCACTTTAAAATTATGATGATACCATGTCTCCACGAAGTCGGAATTCTGAGGAAACAGATCAGCAGGGAGGGGACCAAAAGTGGTGCCCATGGGGATGCCTTTTTCTTCTGAAGGTAGAGATATAACTATATTTATGGTCACCACGTTGAGTAACAGATACCCTACGGATCAAGGAGTGATGTTTTTTCCTAAGTTTTATCGTTTGGCGTACAAAGTTGAAAAATCACATGTTTTGTCATAATGGAACTTAGTTTTCTGAGAATGCAAAACATCAAGAAAATTCTTTGAGCTTTTGAGAATCCACTCGATATTAATTCCTCTTGTCTCAAATACGTTCTGTGAACATAAAGAAAGTCCTCCTATGATTGTATTTAGGATTATCGTTAATCTTTGAGACAGGGATTTGGTGGTACATATATATCAGCAATATATCTCTCTTTGTGCCGATTGATATGGATCTTTATAATCCAGTACAAAAGATGTAAAGACACCTCAGAATTGAGAGTCGAATCAAACGGTGATAATGATGCGTCGTTTGGCAAATCTTTTCCTCAGTTAACATATTAGGTTTATATGCGGAATTATTTATGTGTTCCAAGTTCTTTGATCAAACAACTAAGGAAGAACTGCTAACATATAATGGTTATATCATACTCTCTTGTCGATACTGTGGGCTCTTACTGTTTGTTGTTGGAGTTGTTGGATTTCCTTCAACGACAGAAAGAAGAGTACAGCCTTGTTACTGTGTGCAGTCCTTATGGTTCCTGAAGGGGCAACACATCTTCCAAATCAATTGTATCATTTGGTCGTCTTCAACCCATTGCCGTTGACATTTCGATGGTCGTTGGCATTTTATCTGTACATCCATATGACATCAAACAACAATCGAATCTAATTATTTTCTCGGGAAATCCTTTAGGTCGACTGCATTTAATGATTGAATATGTTCTCTATTATCATAACGTTCATGCAAAGGATGTAGTGATTACCTTGATTGGACAATTATAATTTCTTCTTGTGTACATAAAATCGAAAAAATGGTTAACAATAACCTATTTAATGTATATGAACAGAATAGTAATAATAATTATGACGATAGTCTATATACATGAATATAGAACTCTTGCTACACCAGCAAGAAAAGCACGTTTCCGGGTCTTCAAATTAATGAAGCATTTTCCGAATATGTATTTAGAAACGGATGTTACTATATTTGATTTGAGAATTGCACCGATTTTGTATTACGGTTGTGAAGTTTGGAGAATCACTTATAGAAAATCTACTGAAAAGGTACAACGTATATCTTTAAAAAGATTTCTTAAAATAAATACATATTGTTCCACAAATGTAGTTCTGGGAGATGTTGGCAGGCATTATTTGTGTGCGCCACTATTTTGCTAAATGTATACGCTATTGGTGTGGAATATTCGTATGTACCAAAAAAGGTATCCCCATGTTTGGTACACTATGCTTAAAACACATGATGATTAGGATGGTATAAAGTGGGTTTCATAAGTTAGAACTATGTTGTTGTAGACCCGCTTTGCCTATGTCTAGATTACCCAGGATTGTGGCCATATGAAACAGTTTGTGTCTATGTCTAAAACTGGTATAAGAAAATTGGTAATTCATCATTTCTGTCTCATCGTATTTCCTATTCATGCTTCGTCCATAATTGTACCTTACATCACCTTCATTAGAAAATATTTGGCACATATTCTAACCAAATATCGCAGTATTCTTCTCATAACTTAAAAGTACAAAAATGAGTTGTAGCAAAGTATATTAATACGTCTACACTGTGATTATATGGTTATCGATGAGTACCATTTTCTTCTGGTTTGCCCTCATTTTACAGAGAGTAGAGATAAGTTTATCCCCAATTATTACCACAACTACCCTTCCCACTAAAAACTTACTGAATGATGTCGTCAACAAAAACACACATATTGAAATGAATTGCCTCGTACTTAAAAAGAAACCTGTATCAATGGAAATGTGTACTTTATGACAAAAATGTATTTCAACGTTTTCTACATACTGTAAAAAATGGTTATATATTGTAATCTTGGCCATGTGGCCTCCAATACTGAAATAAAAGAGTAAGAGAAAGATATGCATGGCATTAAGCTGATCAATATCTGACGGTGTACTCTGTAAACCTCTTACCAAGGCAGACCAGAGTTATCGGGTGACGTTCAATGTGTATTAGAATAAAACAAAGGAAAATCATCTGTCCAAAACTCGTTTGCTTTCGAACTGCTGAAGACCCTTAGGAGTTCACCTTCAGCCCAATACGAAGCAGAGAGTTGTATACTTCTGAATCATGTTCACAGTTAGTGTTGCCTTTAATTTAATTTATGCAACTTTGTAACACTTATATATTGTTGTCACTCATTGAGGCACAAACACAGGTGGGTATGTCAGAATCGTACACAGCGTACAGGGCAACACAATGACGTGATAATACTACCCAGGCGGTCTCTGTCTCATATCAACTGACTCCTACAGAAAATAATTCATTCAGCCTTGGTGCTTTCAGTGCTATTCAGTGCACCTTTTTGTTATTCACGAATGAGGAATGTTCTGTATTACTTGTTGTAAGCGGGTTCTTCACGACTTTTGGTGGCCAAATATACTAGATCATTTTCCTTTAGAAATTATGCCAGTATATCACAAGACATATGTCCATGGGTATATAAAAAGACACGTACCTGTTTAAGTGACGTATTGTCCCTTGCTATGTCTGTATAACTAGTCTTGTTGTGTATGCATATAGTAGTTGACTACGCCTCTCGAGGGGGACGCTCTATCTGTCAGTAATCTGATCGGTTCTCTTTCTGCAGGCTGTTCTATCAACTGGAACGATATGCTGTTTTACTACTGTTACAAAGCTCTAACTAGTGATTAGGAGAGTTCGTATGTACATCGTGTCTCTGCTATTCTGTAGATGCCGAGCTTGAATGTCTAGCCTGTCTGAATTAAATGTACACATAAGTGTGTGTATGGTTTACACCGCTTTTAGCAATATTCCAGCAATATCACGGCGGGGGACACCAGAAATGGGCTTCACACATTGTACCCATGTCGGGAATCGAACCCGGGTCTTCGGCGTGACATGCGAAAGCTTTAACCACCAGGCTACCCGACCGCCCCTAAATATACACATGAATACAAACATAAATATATCAACATGCATATATGTTGAGTGTTAGTCGGTCACTCTCACGATGTGGTTTTCGGTATGCTCGTCAAATGAGTGTATAATGATATTTGTCTTTGATAAAGTGACGGATTTATCTCACAGCTTATGTACAATCAAAGTCATTTATTGGTTAATTACAATTTAATATCATCAACCTAATTTATTGGTTAATTACAATAAGGTTTATATGATCCTGGTACTTGGAATGGTTTCTCTGACCTTGTTCCTATAGAAGTGTATGTGTCTAGCGTCTGGAGGACATGCAACAGCTGAGTATATACTTAAACATATGAAAGGAGGATGAAAAGTCTAAAGCTCTGAGCCTCACTACAAGGATATATAGTATACCCTTAGCAGTTCGCCTGTATTAAGTACAATACTTTTCATGATGACGGGCTCCATTTGAACCAGTTACACAATCGTACAGCATATTTCTGCATTCATAACAGTGTCGAGATCGTTTTTATGAAAACAAACAAAGCTGACCACCGCGCTGTCATCAAATATCTTCAACTGAGGGAGCTCCATCTCCAACACCCAGCAATGCCGACAACATTAGGGGATGATGCTCCTTCCTTTGTCATTGGGGAAGAGAAAGAATGGAAGTAGATCCAAGATCAGGGAAAGAAATGTGGGTCAAATACATGGTATGATTATGGATGATCGACGACTTACCACACGTTACATAAACAATACAGTGGGTATCTCTCATGAGAGAGTTGAGAACATTCTGAGGAATAAACTGGGCATGATAAAGGTTTCAGCAAGCTGACAACTGATCAGAAACGCTCCAGGTTCATCATCTCTCGTCAGAATAATCAGGGAGACCAGCTGATTTTGTTGAGTGATGTTCACCACTATCACCCAGAGACAAAACAACAGTCAAAACAGTCTTGTGACGAAATGGCAAAGTCCTTCCATCAATTGTCAATATTGTTAATAAAAGTGTGTTATTCCACCAGGACAAAACTGTTATTCGGCATTTATGCAATGCATGACTGTTGCTTTGAACTCATTGAACAGTCTCCATAGTTACCAGATTTGGCTCCGTCAGATTTCCATCTCTTACCAAACTGAACTCCTGGTAAGAATAATGCAAATTATGATGACGCCATTTCTGTTGGAGGAGTATTAAAACACGACGTAGAACGCCCTCTCCGCCAGTGGAACCCAGGAAGTGTAGCAACGTTGCTAGAAGTGTGTGGACCTCGGGGGAGATTATGTTGAAAATAGCGCCATCAAACGCAGTCCATCATATGCTACTCAAAGTTTGCTGAGAATCAAGTTTTGATGATATCAAAAAATCATCCAACAAATAAAGATTGAAATATTCCGGTACAAAATGATTGGGTAACCCCTATAGCACCTCAATTTCGTGATGAACGGACAGAGGCATGCAGTTATCGGCACCATGTGTACGAGGTGCTTGAAAACCTGTGTTTGGATGTGTCGTGACAGAATCGTTGCACATCATTATCAGAAAGCACTACAACCTTTGCTACTGAGGATTGAAGTAGCGTCAATGACGTCGTTTGACGACCGAATATTAGGCAGATTCATGGCCATGCTTGAAACTGGGTCACCACAATGTCACGTTGAAAACGTCTTTGATGTTAGCCAAGGGGTGTGGCGTAGCCTAGTGCTTAAAGCGTTTGCTCGTCACGCTGCAGACCACGCCTTGATACCTGTTTTAGACAATTATATATGGTGAAATATGCAGTGCGTATTTTATGTTAAACGTTACTCTTTAATCATACTGTGTCTTAATTCCTTGAAAGGTAACATATTGATCGTATCGGGCAGGGTAGCGGAAGGTCATGGGTTCGACCCCATGCGTGTCATACCGAAACACATTAAAATATGGTACTTGTTGTTACCTTGCCTGGCGCTCGGCATTAGGGGGCTAAAACAAGGACTGTCAGTATACTGTGTCTATCTAAGTGGTATCTAAGTGGGCCATAAAATCAGCATTAGTCCGGACTGTACAAGAAACCGAACATACGTGCATGCACGTGGCTATATAAGTGCAATTATCTTGGACGCGACGTTAAAATAAAAAATCACCCCTCCTTATGACTAACCCAGATGTGTTGATGAATCGAAATGGAATGGATTAGTACAAAGATTTGTGTGGATTACTAAATGGTGTTCCTAAAGAAAAACTAATAAATAGAATAACACAAAACACATTAGCATCCAACATGACATAATCATGTTACAGCTGACCATCGCTGTGTCGAACTAGATTTGACAGGGGACATAGTTCGACACAACCGCCGCCCTCCAGCACCAATGGGTGAACCAGGTTTACAATGACATGTAATTCCTCGTCATACCGTCACCACAAACACATGCCTGTTTCCGTTTTTGATGATAATCTATGTAACAATGAAACACATATAGACTCAATCATTCTTTCATTTTGGTGAAAGTTTAATTCGCTTTTGTATTTGAAATATCAGTTGTAACTTGCTATCATTTGACATCGACGCCACCAGAATACGAGACACACAATTCGAGTGACATGACTACTGAGTACACTGACGGGAAACAGAAAGTATACACTGGTAATTGGATGTGACCAAAATATTACAAACCTTTTTTTTAAATTTAATAGGCAGAAAACGATCACTGAAACATTGTAAACTTAGGGTCCAAAGCACAGCTATGATACAACTACGTATCAAATATATAACACATCGAATAACCATTTCTTGTGAACCACCATCAAACATGGGTGACAAACTTTCATTGTCCCGGCAGTTTAGTTGACTTGGACTAGACATTCACTTCGAGGTCAAAGATTAAATCTGACATAACAATGTTCGAATAATAAAACGAAGCGCATTTTAAACGACCACTTATCCTACCCATATCAACACTTGACCAATCCCTGACCAGTAAGGTCAGGTCAAATGCAGCCTCAGCAACTGATCAGCTTTATACAGATAACTAGTGAAGGGAGCTATCTAGGTCACTATAGCAGTAGTTATAACATATCCCAAGTCGTACAATAGTTACATTCCGTTTGGCTCCAAATGAGAACAATGAATTGCAAAATAACTCAAACTCGGGAATAGTCTTTCAAATGTCAATACGGTACACGGCAATGAATAGCCTGTACCCAACAATCTCTGCTGTTTGTTATTTTTATTCCCATCAATGGAAACAATTGTTTAAGAAACTATCACGACAAAACCGTAGGAGGAACAGCACAAACACGCGCTGTACGTGGTACATAGTATACGTCGTTGTTGACTGACAAGATTCGCTCCTCAGTTGAGGTGAAAGGTGCATGATTTCTTTTATTGTGAAGCAGAAAGAGGAAAAACAGGTTATGCCATTAATAAATACTTGAAACTAGCTTCTTAAGCACTGGAAACTGAACATGATTTAATTGTTTAAAATTACAAGCTATGGCAACTTTTGCATACATTTGGATACAGATGAAAATAGTGAAAATAGGGCTGCGTTATGTGAACGATCTTACATCCTTCGTTTCCGAAATCATTAACTTCGAACCAGCAAGCAGAAACCCGAAGAAGGATTTGAGCCTGTATTGCTAGAGGAGACGTGCGTAAATGCCTCACACAGCCAGCAGTCAGTGGGTACCCAGTAGGGACTGTGAGGAGTCTATGAGAAAGATACCAATTGGAAACGGTGACAGACTTTCTGGCTGTGTTAGTCAGGGTTTTCTCCCAGGCTGTGACCTTGTCTTTCGAGCCAAGGCCAAGGACAGGGACTACCACACAGAAATGAAAGGCACGGTATTTCTGGAGTGGGCGAAAAGTAATGTGGTCACTTATTATCATGGGCAATGTACCGTATCACAGTATGCAGGATCCAGATAGCAAGGCGCCGACGTCTAATAGCCTAACAGGGCTACAATAACAGCTCTATGAAATCACCAAAGCTAACAAACCTGTATATATATGCTTGACAATTACATCAAAGATCAAGGTCATGCCGTCTTACGACTTCCCGGTTACCTCTGCGATCTGACCACAGTAGGGTTGATATGTTGTATCGTCAAAGGCGTTCCTCCTACCGTTTTGCCCCCCTCCGTTCAAGATGTCAACATGTACACAAAACAACATCATAGTTTCTTAAACAACTTTTTCAAGTGATAGGACTTTGGACTCTAACGGACTTTAGAGCGTGTAATGATATAATATACAACAGTTTTGTTTTTCTTGATACATGTGGTTTGTTTGTTGTTTAATCCCGCACTCAGCAATATTCCAGCTATATGACGACAGTATGTAAATAATCGGATCTGGACCAGGCAATCCAATGATTGACATAGTGAGCATCGATCTACACAACTGGGACACGATGACATGCGTCAACCAAGTCAGTATGCCTGACCATCCAATTCCGTTAGTCGCCTCTTAAGACAAGTATTGATTGCTGAAGACCAATTTTAACCGGATCTTCAAGGATCTCTTGATGTTATGCCCACCCAAGCCAGTGCACAAACATGCCTGTAAGTTACATCATGTTCGCCCATTGAACCAGATCAGGGTGCGAATGAGTTCCAGAAATGAGTTGATGTATGAACAAGTCTGTATAAGCAACGCCTCCTGTCCACCACGGCGCAACATATCACCGTGACTCCATCAGGCAGGGGAAATTGAC